CCTCTCCGCGCGTCACCCCAAGCCAGGCTTACTTCCTACAGGTTTTCCCTGCCCGATCTTCAGGCTGTAACGGAAGCCTGGGGGTCGCTGGTGAGACGGTGGTGGGGTGGAGGCAAAGGGCAGGACGGGGAAGGGGAAGGGGAAAGGGGGGCAAAGAGGGGGTGAGGCGGGGGCTATGACCAGATGACAGCCGGCAACAGGAGCTCAGGACGATACCGCAGGAGCAGAAAGCGAGCCCGAGAGAAGGGAAAACGGCGTCGGCCGGAGACGGCGGCGGCAGACGGACACAAGGGGGGGGGGAAGGGGAGGGGGGTGTGGTATGTGTGGGATAGATGGGTTTTCCTGACGGCGGGTCCTACCAAGAAACGACCCTCTCTTCTAGCGCAGGTCGCAGCAGGATGGAGCTTTCTGCACAGGAAGCTGCCGTGATGTAGGCAGAGCACTAGTCTTTCCGTGTCGCCGGGTTTGACTACAGGTCTTCCCCGTGGTGGTGCGCGCAGGCAGTGTCTCTCTGTGCTATGGAGTCGCGGTTACACCAAACGGCGATGCGATGGCAGTGGTTGGCTGCGGTGTCGGCACCGGGCAGGATGGTCTTGCAGTCGCGGGGGGGTGAAATAGATTGTTGCGTGCCTCGTGGGATGAATGCTTCTGCAGAGTCGCGTTAGAAAAGCAGTGCGTGCCCGGGGGGTGAAGAGTGGATGGACGAAGGCTCGGTGACGGGACGCGATGCGCTGCACTGCGCTGCGCTGCGATGCCATGCCATGCGAACACGGGGTACGGATAGATACGTACCAACCTAAGGTTACGCCGTGATACTTGCCTTGTCACGGTCGACTAATAAACCGGGGCTGTTTGTAACTAGTTCGACGTGCGGTGGCTTCCTAGTGGTGGTGTCTGAGTTGGCCGTAGGTTAGGGTCGAGAAGTCTTTCGGCTTGGGTACGGTGATGCATGGAAAACTGGATGCAAGAGGGCTGCAGCACGCGTGGGGTTCGGTTGTGGGAGCAACAACCTGAGGTCGGGTGAAAAGAGGGAATGCGGAATGCGGGTGAGGCGGGTCCCTCCAAGCGAAAAACCACCCCAGTCAGCCCAGCGCCCCCCAGCATCCCCAGCACCCCCAGCCGCCATGACAACAAGCTCCATCGCCAAGAAGCAGCCATTATCAACCACACACCTTTACAGGCCCTCTCTGTTTTTGATACATACCTAGAGATATTGCCAACTGACGCCCTCAGCCCCCTCCAGCACCCTGTTGAACAATCTCTTTGCAATATACTCGTGTTCGGCCTGCGGGACGTAGGGATTCGATACGGTCTATGTACTGCAGCAAGCAGCAAGCAGCAACACCTGGATACCTTAGCTGCTAGTCCTGCCGCAACACAGACTTGCTCCCACTCCATTTCCCACTTTCCAGCCCGTCAAGAGCGGTGAAAGTCAGATAGTCCATGTGCCCATCCCATCCTGGAGCTGATATAATGGGCCCAGGCCGCATGGTTCCTTGGTTTTCCCATCCCATCACAAAAAACACCCACGCTTCTCGGTCAACCCGTCAAAGATCTGTAACATGCGGTCATGCCGTGGGTTCTAGTGACGCCAAGGGTTCTCTTGGCGCAGTGTGGGTGGAAGATCAGGGTGTGGTGTGCGCTCCAAGCTCTTGATTCGACAATGGCTGTTGTCACAAGTAAACAGCCAGGCAGGGACGGAAAGGGGGATGACGGGAGCCTGATGGGGCCGAGATGGCGGCTTTTGGGCCGAAAGGCTGGGTTGGACGTTGTGAGACTGCGAATGACTGGCCTGTATTATATCTCCGGCCGTCCTGGAAGCAACACGGGAATCCCCAACGAGGCTGGGGACCTCTTTAGTGGTCCAAAATGCAAGATTTGTGAACCAATGACAGGGCAAAGTTTCAATTAAAGCTCGTCATTGGAAGGAAATGTTTGTTTTAGATCTGTGATTATCCTTATTGGCCAACACAAGAACAAGAAGCTGTGATACAAGTTCAAAGGGGGCTGGGTGGACTAACAATCACCACTGCAACTCACAAAACGCTGATGTGTCAGAGAAAATACTCCGTTTTGAGGGATGACGGCCACATCTGCTCAAGACACCTTCAAGCAAGTTTGGGCACGGCTGTGTGAATATTGACATAGTGTAGTGTTGTATGCTGGCCACCAGGTCGAGCAATTGAGCCCCACACCATCAACCCAGATGCCAATCCCATCGCAGCCCAACCGTTTCTCAAGGCTCCCCGCAGCGCCGGTTGGGCAGCACAAACCCACCCCCCGCCACGGGGCTGCAGTCCCGATAGCAAAGGCATTTTGTACAACTCATCACCACACCCTCCGGAGAACGTGAAGTCTGATGTTTAGGGTGTCATCAAGCTGTGTGTCATATTGCTTCTTTTGATCCATATGATCCCACAAGGCTCCTGAGGTGGTCAAACAGAGGGGCTCCCTCGAGAATGTCGCCGTTGCTTGCGGTGCCCGTCAGGCCCTTCTCCTCTATCCTTCGAGGACTCTTGATGACATGGCAAGTTCCTGGGGTTCTGGGGACAGATGGTAATCCTTTGCCTCGTCACTTGGATTACCTCATGACTGTACCACTTGGACGTTATTCTTTTTCTGTTGGAAAATGTTAGCAAGAATGATCCATATGAGACTCCACTGGGTTCACATACCTTCCACTTCTCCAACTCATCCTGTTTGGTCTTGTACTGCTTGACCAGGTCGTCTAATACCTTCTTCAACCCCTCTGCGTTTGTCTGCAGGGCAGGGATCACATCCTTGACAGTCCGTTCGGCTAGTACGCCGTTGATCATGCGAAAGCACTTGCGATCCTCTGGGAGCGGTTGCAGAGTTTCGAGAACAAGTCTATGCTCAGGGTATCAGATATTAGTGACCAAGCGGTGAACATATCGTTTGGAGCGGTGTGATGATAAAAGAGCCAAGGCGATGTGACGCAGGTCTTGAAATAGGTCGTAAGAAGAAAACTCTCACTTGTGTTCTTCAGCTTCTTGCTCGACATCTCCGATTTTCTGCGCAATTTGCTGCAGGGTGTTCTTGTAAGTGCTGTACTGGACTTGGAGGTCTGCCAGGAGTCGAGTCAGTGACCGTTCTTAGTGTATGGTTGATTCTTGGCCTAAACTCACCCTGTTGCCTCTTGGCCGGTGCTGCTGCTGTCGCCATGATGAAGTCTGGATTTGAATATCAAAGCTTTTGGGCCAAAGACTTGATATTGGATGCGGTTGAGAAGTGAGACGAGTGATTGGGAGATCGACCGCCCTATGAGATCCATGCGATTGATCCTGGAGCCTGGGCCCGCTCAACTCTTGAGGCAGATCCACTGGCAGGTGGCCCGAGCTTCCAAACCTTGAATTGTTCCAGAAGGGCATCGAGAAATCGACGGTGGCTTCTCAACTACATCGTACGAGCACACTATATTGGCGCAAACAAGCAACTATTTCAGCATCTACAACAGTTAAAATGCACCCTCTTCTCCACACCAAAGACAACGTCGGTAGGTTCTTCTGATCTAACGTCGTTTTGATCTTGGCTGAAGCGTCTTTATCTCGCAGCGTGCAAAGATCTGATGATCGCACTCGACGAATGCCACATGCGGGGCTTCCTCTGGAAATCCATGGGCATGTGCAATGACGCCAAGGAGGAGCTTTCTGCGTGCTTAAGAGCAGAACGGTGGAAGACTCAGAGCTTCAACCGGAACGGGGTTGCCGACAAGAAGGACAAGATCCGGCAAGCCTGGAAGGATGTCGACGAGAACTCATAAACATCTCTACAGCACTTCGACCGCTCGAATCGATTCGCAGTCACAGACTTCCGACCGTCCATCTTCGAACAAGCAGCTCCGGAGGGAACACATGCATCACAAGCGCTAGAGATACGGGCCCAAACAACACTTGCGGTCTGTAAAACATGGCTATATAAGGACACTCTCCACACAGGAAATTGGGTTGTACATAAGGTTATTCTTGTTATTTTTGGCACGCCTTTCCGACAGCCCCCCTCTTTCAGCCCCCCCTCCTTACAAAGTGCGACGGAAAGCGTCACCGAAAGTAATCAAGCCATACGTCGCAAGAAGCGACAACATGACGGGAACAGGCTTCCGAAGTCTAATCGCACGAGGAATCGAGGCGCCGCCGAGGACGACGGAAGCTAGGAGAGCGAGCTCCAAGCCCAACGGCTCGCCGTTCTGGAGGCGGTAACCACCGAGACCATCTGGGTTATTACACTGTCAGCAACTGGTCACCTGCAAGGCTGGAACAAGCAATCGACTTACACAAAAGACCGACGGCAGTACCAGCGGCAACGCTGGGGACAGATTTCGTCTTGACGTATCCGATGGTGCCGCCGACAGCTGTCAAAGCCGAGAGAACGTAGGCGGGAAACTCGAGACCCTACCAACCCCAGTCAACAAATGCGCAAAGCAGCAAGCTTTATTCCACGCTATCTCCGTACCATTTTGTGTGATTTGGATTATGTATCTTGTTTGTGTTGGTGCTGTGTCGTTTGCTTTATGTGTCGCTAGGTATTCAGAAGGCTTCGGAACTCTTGGGAAGTCCGCCGTATCCATGGAAGCTGTCCAGAGTTGACGGAACGAGCCGAGGCCAGAGAGGTGGGGCACCTCTCTGCAAAGCTCCCCTATTATGTCATGCTGGAGGGGGACTTGGTTTCCGCTTGATTTTACGTTACAGCCGCGGTAGCTCCTAACAATTATTTGGGTCTTGTGCTCTGCTTTACCATCAACTCTCGAGCTTCTCAATATAAATCCTATTTACCTATATTCTCATTCTAACCTCTCTAAGACGTATCCTTCTTTTAATATAAGACATAGTCGAAAACCGTCTCGTCTGCCAAAAGCGGAAGTGGCCGCCAAGACATCGACATAGAGACTGCTCCACTAAAGTGTGAAAAAAAGAAGATTCTTCACCACCGGCTAAACTTGAACCCTACCCTCATGCCTCAACTTCAACAAATCATCCCAATACGGTCCGCTGGCGTAATGGCAGCGCGTCTGACTACGATTTCAAATCAGTTTAATCAGGAGGTTCCAGGTTCGACCCCTGGGCGGATCGAAGTTTTTTGTAGTTTTTTCCTTGTCACCCCTCCCTCCCATCGGAAGTCGGAAGTAGATATATACGCCTACGTCTCGGGAGTTTGGTTGTTGCACTTGAATGAGGATCTCAAGTGTTTCCCCTTTTCCTTTTTGGCGTTTAGATGAGACCGGAAAAGCTACATCTTGAAGGCAAGTTGCTTTTTACACTAGATAGACTAGGTACTCATGACATTTGATTATTACTTGTCTGCTTCGAGCACACACACACACACACACACACACACACACAAAAAACAAAGACCTTGGGGGCTGTCTGTCATATTCACTGAAGAATGCATCCCGCCTAGGTTGTTTCCGGGCATGAAAAAAATAGTATGATGGTACTGGCAGGGAATAAATAGGGTAGAATAGCTAGGCAACTTCCTAATATAACCGCTTCTTGCAGCTTTGGTGGTTTCCAACTTCTTCATGTCATTCCATATCTTGAAAAGACCATTTCCTTTCCTTGCTTAAATATCATCATCATCCATCCCTCCCTCCTTTCCTCCCTCTCCCAGATCTTGCATCACCCTACCACCCTACACCAATGGCATTTCCGAGCTATAACAAAGATCAAGAGCAGTGACGACAGACCATTGATTGACACATATACTCTAAGAACTTCACCAAACAAAGAACACACACACACACACACACACACATATACTTCACAAAAACACCCCCTAGGAACCATCTTCTAACCAAAAATCGTGTTTGTGAGGGAGGTATCACATGCAAAATAAAATCACAAAAACACACACACATAAAACAACAACAACAAAAAGCCAGTATGAAGAAAAACAACTAAAGATGAAGAAAAAACAACCAAAAAATGAAAATTACAAAAAAGCCAAAACAACCCATTCCAAAAAAAGAGTCCCCTTCCAACCCCTTTGAAAAACACATTCCCAATGTACCCAACCCATGAAAAGACCAGAAACCCAAAACAGCACACACTCATCCCCACACCACCCACCACCTAGCCAGCCAGCTACCCACCCAACGCGTTCGAGTTTCCCTCCCAACAGTCCCTTCGTTTTTTAGCCCCTTTCTTGCTCCTTGTCAAAGTGTAATAATACCTTGTTTGCTTCGCCCTAAAAAGCAGTAGCTATAGTAAACTCCCACACAACAATACCGCCCCCCGCTTGCTCCTCAGTCCCCCCCCCCCCCCAAATCATGCCAACTTATTGAAAAGTGTGTCAAAACAGTGTGGAAGAAAAGAAAAAAGGGAAAGACAATAAACCAAAAATATTCAAAATCATCAAAACTACTGCCCCCTAGTGGTAGTATGATGATGAATATTCGGCTCCGACAAGCTGGTATTTGACCTCCCCGTCCCGGTCTTCAACGGGTCCTCGACGTCGGCGGTAACAATACTTGGGCTCTCCAGCCCCGCCGTCAGCGCCTCCGAGGCCGTCATCCCCCTCGTCGCCGCCAACGACGGCCTGACATGCGAAGCAGCCGAGATGGCCGCCGCCGCCGCAGCCCCCGCATTGCTGCTAGTAGCCTGCTGGTACGCCGCCGTCAGCACGGCATTGTCCCTCCTGCCCCCCGTCACCGCGTCCGCCGCCCTGGCGAGCTCACGCTCCCTGTTCTTCTCCAGGAGCTGCCCGCCGAGCGTGGCGCACTTGAGGATGGTCTGGATGAGGTGGTTTTGCTGCAGAGGCTTGGAGAGGTACTCGTCCATTTGGGCCTGGATGCACTTTTCCCTGTCGCCCATCATGGCGTGGGCCGTCAGGGCAATGATGGGGGTGCGCTGGCTGCCTAGGCTGCGCTCGTACTCGCGGATCTTGGATGTGGCTTCGAATCCACCCTGTTTGTTATTGTCAGTCAAAAGCACTGTAGAGGGAGAAAATAGTAGAACTCGGGAGGGAACATACCATGATAGGCATCTGGACATCCATCAAAATGACATCAAACTTCTTCCTCTTGACAGCCTCAACAGCTTCCTCGCCGTTCCCAACGACAGTAACCACGTGGTGGTACTTCTCCAAGATCTTGACCGCAAGCCTCTGGTTGACTGTGTTGTCTTCCGCCAACAGAATCTCGAACGAGCGGGTGTTATCCGCCAGCGAGGGTGTCGCGCGGTTCTCCAAAGCAGGCACCATGCCGTTGCCGAGATCAATCAGCTGGCATGGGGTGGTCATGTAAGAAGTGATGCCCAGATCAAGGCAAGACTTGAGCGAGACGTGAACCACAGGGGCCAAGAGCACAATGGGCAGGTACTTGAAGTCGTCGACTGCTCTCAACCTCCGAGCATCCTCGATCGAATCGACAATGATGACATCGTAAGGTGAGTTTTGCTGGGTCCGAGCCTTCTCCAGCGCGGGGCTCTTCTCCGAGTCAACGACAATAGGCACGAGGCTCAGCTCCTTGAGCATTCTGACAATCTCGGACCCGTGGCCGGTCCTACCCTTGTCGATAAACAGTACCTGATGACCCTTGTAGGGTGTAAGTTGCTTCGCGATGAGCGTAACATCATCGTTGGCGAGACGGACGACGCACGTGAAGTAGAACTTGCTGCCCTTACCATACTCGCTCTTTACCCACACGTCACCTCCCATGAGGTTGACGAGTCTCTTGGAAATGGAGAGACCCAGTCCGGTACCGCCAAACTTGCGTGTCATGGAGCCGTCGGCCTGCTGGAACGTGTCGAAAATGAGATCAAGCTTGTCCGCCGGAATACCTATTCCCGTATCGGACACGATAAACTCGATGGCGTACTCGTATGGGGCACACTCGACGCGAGACGCTTTCTGAATAGTCAGGCTGACTTCGCCGTGCTCTGTGAACTTGATGGCATTGCCCACCAAGTTCAGGATGATTTGGCGCAACCTGAACGAGTCACCCACCACGTGGTCCGGCACCGAGTTATTGACTCGGTACGTGAGGTCCAGGAACTTCTCGTTTGCCTTAACAGCGAGAGTCTTCAGCGCATTGAAGACAGTTCCACGCAGCGTGTAGGGAATCTCCTCGATAACCATCCTCCTAGCTTCGATCTTGGACAGATCCAAAATGTCATCAATGATGGTCAACAGGCTGTTGGCCAGCGAGTTGACAATGTTGAGCATCTCTCTTTGATACTGGGTGAGGTCCGTGTCGAGAGTGAGCTGCGTCATGCCTATGATGCCGTTCATCGGGGTCCGTATCTCGTGCGACATGTTGGCGAGGAATTCCGACTTTGTCTTGTTGGCCAACTCGGCTGCTTCTCTGGCCTGTGTGTTCCTCTGGATACTGTCTCTCAAGTTGTACACCATCTGGTTGATCTTTTTCTTGAGCTCGTCCATTTCACCAGACGCTTCCACTTCAACTAGTTTGGTGAAGTCCCCGTCCGTTGCCGCATTGGTAATGTCACCGAATGCTCTCACTTGTGCCGTCTGTTTAAGTCAGTCAGCGGGAATTTGCAACAATATGGCATGGTGCATGACTTACCAAGTTGTTGGCCATGGTGTTGACGTCAGTAGTGATTTCCTTCCATCTGCCTTTCAGGCCAGCAACATCGGCCTGTCCACCCATTATGCCGTCGACACCCACGTCCTTGGCGACTCTTTGCACTTCGTTACAGAATATAGAAAGCCGGTCAACCATGTTATTGATGGTTTCCTTGAGGATGAGTATCTCGCCCTTGGCTTCGACGTCGATCTTCCGACTCATGTCTCCATTGGCAATGGCTTGTGTGACAGTTGAGATCCCTCTGACCTATTTTGGTCGTCAGTACACAGTCGTTCGTGAAAGGGGAAATGAATGCCGAGACATACCTGCGATGTGAGATTCCTGGCCATAGTGTTCACGTTTTCAGTGAGGTCCTTCCATTTACCCTCTACGTTGTCGACTTGGGCCTGACCACCGAGTGTACCATCTGTGCCGACCTCTCTGGCCACCTTGCTGACTTCAAACGCAAATGTTCCCAAGCGGTCCACCATGGTGTTGATGGTGTTCTTCAAGTCCAAAATTTCACCCTGCACCTCGACCCCAATCTTCTTGGTAAGGTCACCCCGAGCGACGGCCGTGGTGACCTTTGCTATTTCTCGCACCTGTGTTGTTAAATTCATAGCCATACCGTTGACGTTTTCCGTGAGATCTCTCCAGGTACCCTGAACATCATGCACCGTTGCCTGTCCGCCGAGCCGTCCTTCTGTTCCGACTTCCCTGGCAATCTTGGTGACTTCCCGTGCGAATTGCTGGAGCTGGTCCACCATAGAGTTGATCGTTTTCTTCAGTTCAAAGATTTCACCGCGGCACTCAGCCTGCACCTTTTGCGTCAAATCACCCTTTGCGACAGCCGTAGTAACCTTGATGATGTCTCGCACTTGTGTAGTCAGATTGTTGGCCATGGCGTTCACGTTGACAGTCAGTTCGTTCCACATGCCCTGTACCCCTTCGACATCGGCCTGGCCGCCCAGGATACCTTCGGTTCCGACGTCTCTGGCGACACGAGTGACTTCAGAGGCAAAAGTTCGCAGTTGGTCCACCATGGTGTTGATCGTTTGTTGCAGCTGTAGAATTTCTCCCTTGGCAGGGCGTTCGATTTTCTTGGTGAGATCACCATGGGCTACGGCGGTGGTAACAGAGGCGATTTCACGCACTATCATGCGAGTGTCAGTGGGGCCCAGAGTCGATGCTGTACCTGCATATTAGGGGTAACATACCTTGATCGGTGAGATTTTGAGCCATGACGTTCACTAGTAAAAAAGAGTCAGTACGTCTGAGCGCTTATCAAAGATGTGCATCACCATGATATCAAAGCATACCGTTATCAGTAAGTTCTTTCCAAGTTCCATCAACACCCTCGATTTGAGCCTGACCACCGAGTATACCCTCGGTTCCGACTTCACGGGCGACACGGGACACTTCGCTGGAGAAGACTTGCAGTTGATCCATCATGGTGTTGATAGTACGCTTGAAAGTGGTAATTTCGGGGTCCATTTCAACACTGTTCATCCGGACCTTCTTGGAAAGATCACCGCGAGCGACAGCCGT